TATTATATTAAAATAATAACTACATTTTAAAATTTTATTTGTGATCTTTAAAAAAAAAAAAAAAGTAATTATACTTTTTTACAATTGTAATAATCTAATGATCGAATATTGCGGAGCTTTACCACGTCCTTGATACAATTCAACAAAAATCTCACTATATACTTGGTACACGTGCATAACAGGTATAGGGTGGAAAGTCAAGTCGAAGCGGCAGGAAACTGTCTCGGGAAAAAGATTCCCGCCTTACTCTTCCATAAAAAGCGAACGAGCGCAGCGGCGAGAAAGAGAGGGAGATCGCGTGGAGGCGAGTAACGGCGTGCATACCTTGCGTCGCGAGTAAGCGCGATAGCGAGGAAGGGGATGACTCTTCGAAGGGACATTGCTCCCTGGCCTGGCCTGCCCTGCTCTGCTCTGCGCTTCGCGTTTCGTGTCCAGCCAAGGATCCACACCCGTCCATTTCTCGCGTCGTCCTGCGCGCTCTCACGCGCCTTCATCGAGCGTAACACCAGCAGGTCCTTCCGGCGAGAACGCGAAAGGACGCCCGGCAAACCGCCCCGCACACTTGGAATATGTATCGATGTATCGGGAACATTAGTGTACATCGGTGAAGTTGAATCGAGATAATATTAGCGTCTGCCTGTGCTCGAGCATCTTGATATCAAACAATCTCCTCCTCATCTGCAAATACATGTGCCATTATTATTATACATATTCTGTTTTAATAATTTCATATATATATCTAACGTTTAAATTTTAGTGTTTGTATTTATTTAGGGTATTTCAACCCTTCTTCAAATTCGTAAAAAGCAGCAAAACTGAAAGGTAATGCAACTTTTTGCAAAACGTATCGTGCTTCGTGTTGCGTGCACTTCTTGCTATTTGTATACTTCATCATGTTTCTCCCTGCCTCTTTCTGCGAAAGGGCCTACGCTCCAGCGCACGCTATCAACCCACCGGGACGCCGCAGGATATTCGAAATTAACTCGCGGCCGAAAATAAACAGTCACGAGAAGAGCCGAGCCGCCGCCACCCCAACAGGTGGTTACGCGCCGCACTCTTGCTCCAAGATAAAACTTTCCAACCCTCCTCTATCTCCCTCTTTTGGTTCTTCATACCACCCGGACTTTCTATCCCCCTGAACCAACTTTTAACTTTTTTCTTCTCTCTTACTCCAACTCTTCCTCTGTTTAGTCTACATGATCGGCCACATCTTTATTCCTGATCTCTAAGGGCCAGTCGCATCCGACGACGGTTATACCCTTTATAAAATGATTCAGAAATGTTTACATTCGCTATATGAATTTATCGAGTTTGAATCTTCAACAAAAATTTATTTTTTCGAGTACTCAGTTTCTAAATAACGAAAAAAATCAATCATAAGGAAATAAATCATAATCGCGTCTTATCCCTACTACTAGAAAAGAAATTCTTACGAATGAAGAATTTTAGTAATAATTAATTTTTAGAAGCGTAAAAAATAAACAAAAGAAAAAAAATTGCACACTTATAAAACCTCTATATTGGAGAGCTACAACTTTTTTCAATAAATTTCCAATATTTACTAATATCGACTCAATTCTATTTACTTTCTTCATCTAAATAGAATTAAAATCGAAAAAAATCATAGTATTAGTCCTGTACTAATCAACTATCGAGAGACGAACTCAATCTTCATTACCGTATTTGGAATGTGGTACGAGAAGAAGAGAATCGCTGAGACGGGGTTAGACGCAAACTCAGACCACTGTGGCGGCTCTATTGGTCTGGCTCTAACCCCGCCGACTCTAACACAGCTTAACCCGGGGACGCCCTTACGCCCAGACATCGGCGGCGGCGTCGGGGAGGCGAGCGCGCGTGATACCCCCACCCCTCTCATCGAAGGGTCGTTGATCCCCCAAGGACAACGACCTTGCGTCTGCGGCAACGGCAACCGTTCGAACGGTTCTGAGTTCCCGGATTCCTCGATTACCAATATCTTTCACTCCTCACTTCCCTCGTTTTGTTCCCTTGCCTCTTCGACTATCGATGCCTCCCTCCCCTCATCTCCCCTCTACCATCCGTTCTCCACCTTTTCCGCCAGCGTCTCCTTTCATTCTCCTTTCCATTTTCTCTTGCGTAGTGCGAGCACTACGAGCAAGCTCATTTTTTTTTTCTCTATCGGAGACTATCAATGGACGACAACGTACTGACGCGATCGGTGGAAAGAACATACTACGTAGGCGGTTTCTCTCAAGCATTAACCCCGCTATAGACTCTATAGAGTATTCTGGATACTTTGAAACTTCACTTCACTTGAATTCATTTAAAAAAAATAATTCTCTTTTCAATTTTAAACAATTTTTGATATATATATATATATATACTTGAAATTGCAAATAATTAAATTTGTTCTTTAATTTTTACTTCATCTCTGCGAATTTTTCTATTAAAATAAAGTTTATTTAAAACAAAAAAAAATCAAAATTATATTACGTGACATTTAATTCTTTTAAACGTTCTATCTTTTTATTTGATTAATGTATAAACTCGATTATTATATAAATTATAAGTTTATTTAATTTCAAGTAAGATTGTAAAAACGAGTATTACACATTAGCAACTTTTCTTCAGCGACCTATTCGCGGCTACGATGGGCAGGTGGCGGGCTTATGGATTTATGAGCAAGCGAGCCGCTTTCAAAATCGTAGGAGAGTATGAAAAATTCATGCAAGCCGGCATCGATATGCATGACTCGACCCCGACCCGCATAGCCTTTTCTCTTCCCGCCTCCTCCCTCTAACGCGATAGTCGCGTACATGCTCGTAAACCCCTCGTAAACTCACCGATCACGAAGTAGCGCATGGAGAAATCCTCTTTCTTTTGGTTTCCTTTTTAATTTTTACATTAAGCATTAATCCCCTGAAAAGCAGAATTTTGTGTTACAAAAATTAAATTGTGTATAAGTGACGTATGTAATATTATGTAATATTACATGTGTAATAAGACCCCGAGAAAAATTTAAAAAGAACAGCATTTTCGAGTAAATGGTGGATATGAAAAAGAATATATTTTATAGAAAAATATTATAAAAATACATATTACAGATGTATAAAAAAATTATAAGTTGATTTTTATGTCTAATCTTGCTTTTTTTAAACATAGCTTTCTGTCCTCAAGCCATAACTCGAGTAAGGAGTTACTACACAACATATATTCTTTTTCGTAAAAGGTTTCCAAACAAAATTATAAAGTTCGCGATCGTAAAAATTCCCTCTTTCAGGCAACGACTCTCCGATGAGATCAACCACTATACCTGACGCGTTAAACTGACTCCTAGTTTCCTAGGTGGGTGGACTGGTGGGTGATCAAGTGCGCACTAGTATGATACATCGTATGTGTGCGCACACGTGTACGCTTACGTGTGTATAGATCTAATAGATGCGAACGCGCGTGTACACATACGCAACGTATACTCACACACGGCATATCTTCACGTGCACTAACGAACGAGCGTTGGCGTGCGGGCCTCGAGTCGGGAAGCATACGGGTGACGTAATCCTGACGAAGGGAAGGAATAACATCGGCGATGACCTACTAACGAGTCGACTTTTTCTCGCACGCGTTCCTTTGAACGCCCTTCCTTTTCGGTGTTTCGAAATCCTCCTCCTTAAGTCGCGTTGACTTTTCGACCGGGCTTTGCTCTCAAACGAGAATATGATAAAAGACATTGCGGATCGATAACGGCAGCGGCAACGCAACATGATTTTGTTTTCCCATTCCTGGAAAAGTATAAAATCAAATGTGTACAAAGCCAGTTTGTCATTGTTATCGATATTATATATTAGCTTTTCATTAATTAAAAACAAGATATTAAAAGAATCCAAAGTGATTACAATATAACATTTCTTTTTAAACTTCTCCTTAGATAGAGAGGAGCTAAAAAAATGAATTGTAACATAGATAAGAAAATTTAAAAAATCTAGAAAATTGAAACAAGGAAGCTAATGTTTCAATTTCGTGATTATTAGATGATGCGATATGCATAACAATTTCAATCTCAATTTTAATTCAGATTTTTTCTTGTTAATCTGATATGTACAAATAAAATATTATAATGATATAATATTATTAAATTCAAATGTGTTAAAAAAAAATTAAATTTAGATAAACTTTTAAAAATGGATTTTATCATAACCGCACGCAAATTATCCTCCATTAAAAAAAAATCAAATTTTTCAGTTATTGAGAATGTAAATGTTACTGACATAGTACATGCAGCATAGTATATAATAGTTTCGGACACACTATAATAGTTGCGGAAGAGAGCGGGCGAACAAACAGCCAGCCGTGCGACAAGTGCTCGTGGCGCTGAAATACCAAAGTAGGTCCCACAGGTTTCTCTCCATGGACCACCCTACCGTCACGCTGTGGTGACTTTTGACGCGTGAATACGCCCTTTGTTCGCGTTCCCCTTCTCTTCTCTTTTCCCCGCACCGTTCCTCCTTTCATCCCTCTGTGGGAGTCAGGTAGACAGGTAATGCTAGTCGATTTCACCTTGATTCAAAGAGAGCGACCCTCAACTCGCCTAAGAATTACCATCTTATAGGATTATCCAGGTTAATCGAATCTATTGGGAATGTTTATCTTCGCAAAGCACATTTACATTGCAAGGCTGAAAGCACGACAGTAAAATATAACTATACAATATAAAATTATAGAGATAGAGAATCGACAAACTAATAAATCATGACCATCTTTTCATAAATTTTGATTTAAAGATTTTTCAAATTGGTAAAAAAAAAAAGATTTTTATTTATCTCGAGAAATTTGTTGAATCTATTTCATAAACGAAAACACATATGGAAAGTTCTTTCTTTATTCTATTATGATTTTATCAAATTTATCGTATCATATTTCTGATGTCTTTATAAATCAGGATTTATGAGATCACAGGTATTCATCAAATTGCGCTCGCGCAAATTTGCTGAAGGAGCACGCGTTCATTATTCACCATCCGGTTCTATTCGGTTTCAGTGCATTACAAAGCCAACCCGCCCAGCTTTTCTCCCGCTCGGACCAATCAGATGCCCACCCGCTATGTGGCCCAATGTTTAGGGTGGTTGCAACAGGTTGCCCCAGCTGCTGGTGCTTCCATGGTGTTATTTTGATTTTACCAAATAATACGAGAAATCTTCTAATTATGTGGATACTTTTTTAAAAAAAAGAGAGAAAAAGTACGCAAAACCAAAAGTGATCGAATCTAATTTAGAATTATTTCCTAATCATGTATGTATCTCACATATGATAATTTCGCTATATATTTTTTCTTTACGACAATGTGATAAGTAATATTTGTTTATTCTTTTATACATATATTTAACTAAAAGTGAACATATATATTTAATAAATTTTTTATATAACTTACATATATCTTTCGAGAGAAATTCAATGAATGTAGATAAGATTCTTTTGAAAATAAAAAAGCGCGATAAAAACTCTCGCTTCTGAGATTCTCGTTACCGTGTCTGAATCTATGTAATACGAATACGCGCCTTTATCTCCATTATCACTTTTAGTGCGTTGATAAAAATAAAGATAATCCTTGAGATGCGCATCCTTCTAGTATGATTGTAAAAAGCAACGGAAGATAAATGTGCATAGAAAAAACTCGTAAAAGTGCCAAGTATTTTTTTGTTCTCGCTTTTACTTGTTCTCGGAGAAGCTAAAGTATCGGAGACGATACCTTGCAAGGTGCAACCCTGCGCTCAAAGTGCCCGTAAAATGCCGAGAGGAACGAAAGGTAGACACGCGGTGAACATGGCCTGACGTAATGCTGTGTGGGAGCGCCGCAGGGTCAACGTCCTCTTTCCCGAGAATTATTGTTCCCAGCAACCCTGTCCGGATGGGGGCAATCGCCCCGAAAGTCGATTAACTTTTGTGGAGGAATCTCAATACGGGTTCATTTACTGCGATCTAATCCGAGTAATAAAAGATGGAAGAAAAGGAGGGAAAATACAATAAAGATAAACAATGAGAATATTGATTATAATGGGGAACAGACTTTCTGATATCGTAATAATAAAGGCCAATGAGAACCTAAGCGTTAATAACATTATTAATTGTCAAAGAAAACGGCTCATTGGTCTTTCTCTTGCGAATTAAATTGACAAGCAGTAATCTTGTTAGCATCAGTGTTGATGATAATTATTACGGGAGCGTACTAAATTGCGACTTTTCATTTTTGTATATTCGGGTGTAAAGTATCTCGAAGAAAAATAAACAATGTCGTACAAGAGATATCAGAATTTCGTTGAACCCCATTCCACGCGCCAAGGATCGAAGCCTGACTGTACTCTCTCGGATGATACCGTTAAACTGACTTCCGTCTGACCACCTACCTACCTACCTACCTACTTTCGTCCTCGTATATCGTCGAGAAGAGACAGAGAGACAAGCGAGAGAAGCAGCTCCGGGTATTTGAAAATCGAAGAATGGTCAAGGAAATGTGTATTTATGTGTATTTATTTGAAAAAAATGATCAAACAAGGTGTTGCTTTTTTGCCTGATAATAAAATATCAGCTTTAGTAGTGAAGTGATATCATTTTTCCCTTCACCCGATCATTTGAGAAAGTAAGAGTTAATTTCTCTTAACGAATTTATCTTAAACTTTAAGAGATTGTTAAATACAAGATTATTGATTGAAATCGTATATGATCGGTACGAATAAAGTATATAAAAAGTGTTAATAAATACTCGAAAGGCTAGTATATCTCGTATACAAAGCTTTCTTTGTACAAATCATTTTTGATTTGAAGGAAAGAAAGAGATATAGTCAAGAATCAAATTTTAAATTTAGAAAAAAATATAGTTGAAAGTACAAATGTGAACGTTCTATAAATAAAAGAATATTAATCTGGCGAAAATTTAATCTTATCAAACATTTATATTCTTTAAGTTGAAAATGATCCAAGTCTGAACAATCACGAAGAAAAACAGAGATAGATGAGCGCGAAGAGAGTAAGAGACAGAGAGAAAGAGAAAGAGAGTCAGACATGTGGAACGGGTCACACCCTCCGGATCGTATTATTGTCGGCTCTGTATGTATACGTACGCACGTGACTCGCGTCCAGGGTCGACACAAGTGGGTTGGTGCGCTCGAGCGCGGTCGTTAGTGTCGTCCTCGCCGTGAATACCCCCCTGATCGTTCAACGACCCCGACGACGGCGTTCGACGACGTCGATGTACATATGTACGCACTCTCGGCTCCACGCGCACGTGACGTGCCCAGGATATTGGGCCGGCGAACGGTAAATAAGGGATCCAGCAGACTGTCCTTTCGCCGAGAGCTTTTCTCCCGACGATCCAAAGGAATCAATCCATCTATTGTCGACGCCTTTGAAACCGGAGCGACGTGGCGCGTGGAAAGTCTCTCCGCTCCGAGCGTGAAAAGCCTCGGCTTTCGGGATCACAAAGAATAACCCCTTCAATCGTTTTACATATGTATTCCGTTATCCATTTGGTCAGATGCTGTTATTAAAAGTAGAATAATAATTTCAAGACGCGATCCTCTGTAAGAAATATTATTCACAATATTTTTCCATCTCCCATTTAAATTTATACATGTATACGAAAACATTTATCATTTATAGTTTTTAAATTTTTTAAATTTGTCACGATATACATACATGTTACTGCCTATAAATTATCATAATTCTGTTTTTCCTTTTCCATGCACCAATCGATTAGATTCACTACAGCGCCTTGTCGTTTGGAATTACATTGCGAACGAGGTGCCATCAGAAGTAGTGGGACAGACGGAGATCAAAGGTCATGAGCGACAGGAAGCGGATTTGTGCGCCGGATGTCGTAACTTCCGAGTCCTTTGGCCCCGGACGTCTCGCCCCGCGTGCATACGCATGCGTACTCGACCTAGATTGTCAACGATTCAGATATTTTCCATTATAAAGTTACGTTAAATGAAGAGAACTGAACTCCGTTCGTTAAATATATAGATATAGTACACGATAATCTTCTAGTAATGAAAATATTAATTTTCTCAGCCTTTTGCGACTTGTAATGGTCTAAAAACATTTTTTAAAATGTTTGAAGTTTTTTTCGATAAAGTTTCAATCTTAAAATCGCGGCTAAATCGACGATGAAGAAGGCTTGAATCACACATCCGAGTGTGAGATCCCTCGAATCGAAAATCGGCTCGAGTTGTTCACGAGTGATGCACAAGTAGCGAGCGCGCCCCATCGCGCCCTCCTCGAGCGAAAGGGCGGTAGAGAAAGGAAGAGATAAGAGGGCAGGGAAAGGGGAAGGGAGATAGACGGTAAAGATAGACGGATAAGTACAAAGAGGAAAAGAGGGAGAGGTAATGATCAAGCGAGAGGGAACGGGCGAGAAGTCGTAGAATGAGGAAGATAAAGATAGATAGAGAGAGAGAGAGAAAGAAAGAGAGAAACGCGTTGAGAGGGAGAAGAAAAGAGTCGCAGAGCGAGACAGAGAGTCGCGACGCGCGATCGACGAGGGAGAGAATGTGAGAGCATGAGAGGAGAAAGAAAGAAAGAAAGAGAGAGAGAGAGAGAGAGAGAGAGAGAGAGAGAGAGAGGGAGGGCGAGACAGAGAGTCGCGACGCGCGATCGACGAGGGAGAGAATGTGAGAGCATGAGAGGAGAAAGAAAGAAAGAAAGAGAGAGAGAGAGAGAGAGAGAGAGAGAGAGAGAAAGGGAGGGTATAGTCGTCGTGAGCTCCTTACAGTGCATTGCCTTTACGAACCCCCCAAGTCCCGTCACATCCCGTGCCCTCCCTCCTGTCTCTCTCTCCCTCGACAAATCGCGTACGACGTGCCTCTCATGAAGAGATCCACGAAACCAGCTTCGCCGTCGAGCGATTCGGGTCGTCGAGACTCATCGAAATGGAGGAAAGAGGGGCAGGGGAAAGGTTCAGGGAAGTCACACGTCTCGTGTGTCGACGGGGTGCGGTATATCTACGTATGTCCTCGTACGGTGACAATACAGAGAGGTTTTCCTTCTCTCAAAAGACAGATAATGACATTCTCCTTTCGGTCCTCTCATCGTCGGGTTAGCCTAACACGAGACTTTCACAGTTGGCCGCGTGAAGGTTTCGAGGGTTACAGGGTTATCGGCTCGGTCAAGCGAGATTGAGTCCGAGATCATCTACCGCGGGATCGCTCATAATTTTGTATGGATACTCGGTAAAGTCGCGAACTTTCGACGAAACGTAAACGTAATCGACTTTATTTCCCGATTTACATATCTCCGATGTTTAATTCGAGATTGATTTTGGTACCATGTAGGTGATACTTGTACGATTTATACATTTTACATCACCTTATACTTTTGTATTACAATCTCCCTTAATTTCGTAACTTTTTTTCGGCGTACAAAAAATTTTCGATCTCGCGATGATGTTTTAACAAAGCGCCCCGCGTCTAAAATAGGCGCTTGCTACGCGCAGAGAGACTTTCGAAACAGCCACGTTTCACATGCCGCGCTCCCGCCTCCGCGCTTGGAGGGAGACTCGGATGTTCCCTCCCCCCCCCTCCCCCCGTTTGACTCGACTCCTTCCCCTCCTTGCCCCGCTTGCTCGCGAACCATGTCGCGACAAATACGTCGTTTCCTCGTTGCCTCGTCGTCGTCATGATAACGCGCGATTGATGGCGAAATGATGTATATCTACCTGTTTGGTTTCCTGGCTCCGTCCATGACGAGCATCGTTCGTACGATGGAAGTCCATTTGGAAGGAACGGCGAGGTGACAGCGAAGAGAGTGAGAGAGACAGAGGGGGGGTGGGGAGAAAGTTCCTGTAATAGAAACTCGAGTCATTCCCGCTATTTATAGCCTTTCAAAGGTATACTGATAAGGGAAGACTTTAGGCTCGCGTTTGAACGCGGTCATAAGGCGATGGCAATTGAGAAATTGAATTGTCTCGCGGTTACACACAGGTGTGAATGACCTGATCGAATTAGAAACGGAGTGTTTGCTCGTACGGTGGCTCCTCAGGGAACAACCACCTTGTTTCTTTCCCCCCTACCCCCCTTTCCTCCCCCTTCTATCTGCTAACGCGGAATATCTCAAATCTACCGTCTCGTGTAATTTCAACGTTGTAACAACAGGAGCAATCGAACATGACGTGTAACGAGTAATTAAAAGACACGTGCACACGGATAGAATGGACGAACAATGTATAAATTGTCAATCGCTCCTGTTGTCATACGTGCGCGCGCGCGCGCGCGCAATGGAAAGGATAAACAAAAATAATGTGAGTAGTACATGTACAGGTAGTACCGTAACTCTCATGGATTTGTTTGCTCGCTCGCCTCTTTACCTGTGTGCCCCCGCGCGATTCACGCCCTTTTCTTCCTGTATTTCATCGTCTCTCGCTCCTGCGCTAACGGTGAATCGCAAACCGCGTACATACGCGGCATCGCCGAGAATAGCTTCGAGCCAATATGGCGCCAATGGCGTCATCTAAAAGCACTGGTCAATGTTACTCGGCCGCGATGGAGGGAGGCGTGCGCCATCTAGCGGCGGCGCGCGCAACATTAACAGAGGCGTCATCTAACGGCGAGTGATAGAGTATAAGACGCCGCAATATCTCCGTCAGAGTTCTGCTGGTAGAACATAACCTCAATAGCGAGAATTTGCCACAGATTTAAATAAGATTATTAACACGCGAGGTGAATTTACTATGCAAGAATGGCACGTTTGTTCAATAGATTGACAATCCGCGAGCTCGCAAAGATGCAAGTTGTCAGATACTCTAATAATCCGAATCACTGGGTAAAGTGCTCGATGCTTGTACAAATTCTTATATAAATATATTTATATAGTACGGATTTTAATTGTATGTTTTTATAATTAAATTGTTTTGTCTTTTTAACTATACAGGATAAATATTTACAACTTCTAACGTTTATTTAATTTTCATTCTTCCTTGTCATTTGTTTAGTCTATGATTAAAAAGAAGAAAACATCCATGGCCAATGCTCTGAAACATTTTGATGAGTTTTATGGTAATGTCTATGGAAAATCATGGGAAGATATAAGAACTGCATTATTGATGGAAACGCACAAATATATGGCTATTGTGAATAGTTTTAGCGATATAGACAGAATAAAATCAGAGTTGGAGGTATATATATATTTATAGTAAAACATTTAATCTAGTAAATCTGTAGTAAATATATATACATTTTATTATTCCTAGACCCATGGTGCCATGAATTTAAAAACAATCTACGAAACTTATAAGGAAGAGCTTGATGCAAATCCATACAAATCTAATAAAAAAAAGAGAAAGAAAAAGCAAGCAAGAGATCGGCAGGTAGAATCTGCAATTAGTGATGCTCAGATATCAACGATACAGTCACATTATCCAACAGATTATACATCACCACCTGTGTCTCTAAATACAATGAATGAAAATGAAGATACAGTGGTGGAAAGTCAAGCATTACAGCCAGTAGAAATAAAATCTATTGAGTCAAACTTGAACGAAATCATGATCGATGAAAATCGAATTGTACATCCCAATGCTAGCTTAAGTGAACTATATGAATTTATACCAGCCACGAAAATTAAAGGTAATTTATATGTTATTTGGAAAACAATAATCAAGTTATAGAAGATTAATTTTAGACAATTGAAAATGTTTTTTTATATGTATAAATGTAATTTAATGTGAATTTATTTTTTATCTTTTAGGTATGAATGACTGGATATTAGAGTCGCAACACTATGGCTATTACAAAGAGGGCGCGGATTTCTCGATAAAAGTTGAGAAAGAAGCAATATTAACGTTTCCACAGTATCTCAACATTTATACATTTGAGGAAGACAACGATAGTGATTTTCCATCCCCAAAGAAAGGATCTACAGGAGTTTTAGGTTAGTCTTTACTAGAGTAATTTCATTATCAATATGAACATTCTAATATTGTTATGCAGATTATTATCTTCTGGATGGTGCTTCTGTATTGCCGACATTGGCCTTGGACTTGCAGCCAGGCGACGTCATACTAGACATGTGCGCAGCACCAGGGGGAAAAGCTTTAAGTATTCTTCAGACGCTCATGCCACGTATGATAGTTGCTAATGATGTTTCTAAGTCCAGAGTAAAAAGGATCCACAATGTCATAAATCAGTACGTAGCTGGTATTGGTCAATGGCAGGACAGATTATATGTGACGGAGCGAGACGCGAGATTCATCGATGACAAAGATGTATATAACAAGGTGATACTGTAGTAAACGCAGAAGATTCATAACAGAATTTTTAGAAACTCTGATAATTCTCTCCTGTAGATCTTGGTGGATGTACCATGTACCACAGACAGACATGTCTTACATTCAGAAGATAACAGTATCTTTAAATCACAGAGGATTCGAGAGAGATTACAAATACCGGAGCTACAAGCGGATATTCTAACGTGTGTACAAAAGTCAATCTAAACTTTGATTTTTTCATACAATTGTCTTGCATTATTTTCTTTCATTTCGTAATTCTCATGTTACAGTAACGCCTTAAAAATAATATCAGTTGGTGGAACAGTAGTGTATTCTACCTGTTCCCTCAGTCCTATTCAAAACGACGGTGTCGTCGGTATGGCGTTAAAAAAGGCCTGGGAAGACACCAATTCTATTATGGTCATAAAGTAAGCATTTTTTGCATATATATGACAATAAATTTCACTTTATTATAATTTTATACGAATAATGTTTTTTCTTGGAGCAGAGATATGAATGAAGCATTAAAGCCATTGAGGTGCCTTTACAAATTCCGTGATTTTGCGTTAAAATACGGCCACATTGTTACTCCTACGCTCGGTAACAATTGGGGTCCCATGTACTTTTGTAAAATAGTACGGATACGATAGTGACAAGGTGAGTGCATGCAAGTTATTCAAGATGTAATGTTATATAGACGTCATTATAATATATAACAAATCAATATTATTTTATAATAACTAAACAAATTTTAATCTTATTTGTAAAATAAATATTGGCAAACTTATTGTGTTGTGCATAAATATAGCACAAAATATATATGTATATATAAATGTCTCTAAAATTGTTTACGATGAAACACGAATAATTAATTATAAATTAAGATATAGTACATAATGTAAAATTTTACAAACCATGTTTCGCATTATTCTCTCTTAAAGGTAATGTTTGATCGCTCGTTTCATCAGATGTTTTAATTTTGTTCCAGGGTTGCTCGTTGCCGCTCCCAAAAATAGTGTAAACCAGTATCTCGATTACATATAGAATAATCGTTACAAGGAATACAATTCTCCATGCCTCAATGGTTTGCTGTAAATAATAAAATAAAATTAGGATATAATCACTTCTACTCTGTGAAATTAGACATTGTTTTTATTTTTGCTCACATTTCCGTGAGTTAATTGTCCTACGAAGACCGGTACAACAAAGCCGGGTATAGTGGCGACGAAGTTTGTCATTGCCATCAGACTACCGGCAAAGTTGGGTGCGATATCTATGTGGTTTGCCAAGAAACCGCAATACATTCCACCGATGCAGGCCACTCCGATTGTCATTAACAAAACTGCCCGAATGCGATTGCACCCGATATATGACACTTGTATCAAGCAGAGCATTGGTATGAGAGACGCTGTAATAGTGTACAATTGTAATAAAATTACATATAATTATTACATACAATATATTTAGTTAACACAATGAAAAAAGTCCATAATAGATTGCTGTATAAAACATTGCAAAATTCATGTCTATACAATTGTTTAATTAATTCAAAGTTTACTTTTTTTTTTAATTTAAGTTTTTAATATTAAACTTACCAAAAAGCGTGCCGATTTTCCTAGATATCGTCACTGTGATCAGACCCTTTTCCTGTAGAATGGCTAATATTTTGCTGAGAATCATAGTGAAGAGCCACATGCACAAAAACGGAATGGATGATAATCCTGCATTCTGATAAACGAATAAATGAACTCGTGAAATCATGTACATTAAATCACGTGCATTGTGTGTCAAGTTTTAGAACAGTTTTTTTACCAAGCTCATATCATATTTCAAAATTTGACTCATAAATGTGGGCAGTTCGATAAGTAGCATGTACCAGCCGAAATTGCTACAAAAATGAGCGACCAGAATCGCTATGAACGGTTTGGACCGAAACACTTGTCTCCATGGAACCTAATAACAAAATTGTGGTTGCAAGAGTGGATTAAAAAAGAAAAATTCCTGGATATAACAATTAATTTTTTAGTACAGTTTTGGGAACATCATCCTGGACGTGTCCGCCCAAAGACATGACGATATAGTTTCTCTCTCTTTGACTGATGAATCTCGTCTGTTTTTCCGGGGTATCTGCTATCATAAGCCACCAAGCGACGCACCAAATAAGACAAAGCACGCCTTCCACATAGAAGATGGAGTCCCAACCGAGATTCGCGGCCAACAGACCGGTTAACAAGATAGAGATCACGGTACCGAGTGCCGTCCCTAAAGCGTAATTCATCGTAAGCGTAACTTCATCGGCTTGATCATTTTTCGAGATTAAAATTTGCGACGCGTCCGAAAAATTCAACAAATCTAATATGTTATGATTTTTATCAGAGTCCAAATTAAGAGCGAATCTTGACTACCGTTACAAATTTTACCATATGATTACAAGTCTCATATGATGACAAAACGATATGAGATATCCTGGAACATATTGCTGGAACTTTGCAAATTTCAATAATTTATCTTCTTACCTGCATACACAATCGAGGCAATGACACTCCTTTCATTCGGCGGCGCCCATTTCGCGATCATAACATGCATAGCAGGAAACGATACACCCTATAATAAAAATAGTTTAAAATTGTCAATCGTATTCAAATATTTAAGAATCAATCCATTAATATAAATTTAGATTGTTACTGACTCCGCCGATCCCCTGAAGAAATCTCATTACTATGAAGAGCGAGTAGTGAGTACGCGCAGCGATAGGCGATAATATGGAAGCTACGACATTTAAAAGGACCGATCCATTCATTACCCATTTGGCCGACCAGAGTTCCGCTAGTCTTCCACCGGGCAACATAGATACTGTGTAGCCCCAAAAATAAGAAGATAGAATAAAACCTTGAATAAGTTCATTCCATACAAATGGACCATTCTGAAAAAATGTGATAATAACATGGTATGTTTTTTTTTTTATTAAAACACCAAGCTTTTTATTCTAGAGTAACGATATAAGAAGTGCACATGTGCTTCCATCAATATTGATTTTTATATAAAATATTGTTATACCTCGCCTGTAATCTTTGTAACATTTGAGGCATCGTCAAACTGGCAAACGTCCGCGCTCACTGTCGTAGTATTGTCATCAGTTTCTAAATTGTGCGACGTGGATAATTTAATAGCAGTATGATTCACCATAGCGACGATCGCTACACTGGCATTGACTTTAAAACCATAAAGAATAGCGAGACCGATGGATCCCATTATGGCCATCAAATATCGAATCGGAAATAGCGGTCCATTTTTTCTTGCAGCTAGATATAAATAACAATAATATTAACAAATTGTTCTTTTTTCAGAGAAAGAAATGGAATATATTATTTAATTTATATATACACGCAATAATTTCTTAATCCATGATGAATTGCATGGAACATTTATTACCTATGTAAAGTAATCAGGCCGTTTAATTTTTTTTTTTTTTAAATATGTTAGAATTATAACACGCGGTTTGATTCGATATTGGCTTGAGCCGATCGATATACATATTTTTATTCACATGAATAATTTTCACAGCAAAGAAAAGAACTTTGAGAATCAGTTTTCTAAATCGTATCGCGGACGAAATATTTTCCAATTTCGCAGACCATTTTTCTATTTGGCCTAACACGAAATCGATTTGTGTACGAAAGCGTATCTAAAAGATTATTTTAAGAACGAGAACGCATTTACGTTCGCAAGGAGCGAGCCCATAACATATGGGCCGCCGCTTCGAGTGAAATGTCATCCTAATATATATCATAGCAATATTATACTTAGCAATATTACTAGCAATATTAATAGCAATATTACACCTTCAATTAATTTTTACATGATCATATTCCGTAAATCTTTACATTATTGATATGTGAGCGCGAAATTTCGTATATTGAATAATAAGTACTTGTCAGCACTTGCATAGCGTTGCATCATTAAGACGACATATGACGCGATGCACATGATAGGTGCCGCAAATCAATTTTCTCAGAAAATTGATTAAAATTCCTGACATTTCTCTCGAGAAAATCAATCTGGAGTATAGAGGACACGCCAAGGTCATGAAAAATATTTTTGAAACTAGAGTTGTTTTTTATATTTTTAAGAAATTAAATGGCGCAATAATCTATCTGTAATTTGAGAAATATTAATAAAAAAATATTAAATAATATAAAAAGTAATAACAAAAAAGAATAAAATTTATATATAGAATATAATTTTCTGAGATAAATTAGAATTTAAAAAAATACTTTTTTAAACAATATTTTTTATTATTTGTTTTTTAATAATATTTTATAGTTTTAAATTATTAATCTTTAGAGAATCTAAATTCTAATCTTAAAAATTGACCAAAAAAATCATTACTCACCATTAGAATTATTTTCCACAGCCATCGTATCGACGATATGTCTTTGAAGATGTTTTTCAAAAGTATTCGTAGATTTCAACGACAAAAATTGCACGACCGATAACTTATTACTGTTTTTCAATATTTTTTGTAGTTTCTTAGTAATATTTTCTCCTCAATTTACATCATCGTAAATGTTTTTTTCCGAGTAATTATTCTTGGTAGCCACCTGATGCTTCGCTTCCGACTCGTCACGAGAGCTACGTGCTACTGAGTGACCTGAGTGAAGCGGCGAGAAACCCAAAGATCTTGAAGCGATCCCGGAGGGATGCGAAGCGTGCGCCTCTTCTATAAACACCCGTACACATACGCATATGGGTGCGTGTGTGTGTGCGTGCGTAAAAGGAAAGGACCGCACAAAACGCACGCGTACCAGTGCTCATGCTTTCCGACATTTCGACCTCAGTCATTGACACTATAAGAAAGAGGCAAGGAGTGATGCAATTGCATCACACCTGCAACTTTCTTTAAAGTGCTCTGCATTTCCAAAAATAAAAAAAATTTTCAATTAAAAATCGCGTTATTTTATTAACATTTTATAGAGAAAATAATTAATAACAATTATTATATATAAAAATGTTTTATCATATTAAAAAGCGTGAATGAAACAATGACGATTATTTATAAGTGATGCAATTCATATATTTTCAAAAATTTCATGAATGAAAATCTAAATTTAAGACTTTTATTTTTACAATATTTCATGATTTGCAGCTGCTTTTGACCTATTCTGTTATTTGATTTGTTTTATTCGAGTAAACTTGAAGCTAGGCTCGAGCGAACATTGAGCGAATTCGCTCGGTGTTTGATAAGAACAAAATGTCAACCGCGTTTACAAATTTCTGATATATAAAACAGTCTTCTTTCTTTCTCTTCCTCTCGTATTTCATGATTCTCGCACTCTCCTTAGTGCGTGAATCGCTATAATCACAATAAACATGAACGCAAATTCGGAAATCGGTGATCATCTCGACGAGATCTATGACTGGATCGACCAAATAAAATTTTCCAGGCCCAAAAAAAATATAGCCAGAGATTTTTCCGATGGCGGTAAAGGACGCATCTTCTTTCCATATAAATCTTACTGTTGATCCTTTATGAAATCTTGAAAAACCAATAATTTTAAAAAATAATGTTATGACTTTTACAATGACATTCCCCCTAAAAAAAAAGAAAAAATTAATCGCGAGACAATTAAATTTTAGTGTTGATGGCAGAGCTACTGAAACGTTATTATCCTAAGTACGTGGACGTGCACAATTATGTCGCCGGTAATAGCATTGCGAGGAAGATCGATAATTGGTGCACACTTAATCGCAAGGTACTGTCGAAACTTGACATGAGATTGGGAAAGGAAACGATCAATCAGCTAGCTAGTTCCCAGCCAGGCATTATCGAGAAAGTTCTCACCGACCTACGAGCCAAAATTTTGAAAGACTGTAACGCCGACAGAGAGTCCTTGTTCTCCGGCCATGAGGACAGTGAAGGTGCCTTTATTTAACTATGATAAATTATTTTTCGATTATCCTCTCTCAATTTCTCTGAATTCTTTTTATTCTCTCACTTGTTATAATTTAACTGGATCATTCTATGTGTGCACAATTTAGAAATGGTGAAGTCTGTGCTAAATCCCGATGAAGTAGCAAACAAAACTGTCCCCCGACACGTTTTTATTCGCCTAAAACAGGAGCTACAGGAGAAAAACGATATGATCTCCACGTTACAGCAAAAAATCTCGCACCTGGAAAACATAATGAGGCTAAAAGATCAGAGGATCGACGATCTCACGGTGCAAATCACGAGACTGCCAATTGAGAGAAACGTCGCTACTTTGCGTCCTCACGTTATCGGCAGTGGAATCTCAAAACTACATGCTTCTACCAAGTTGCCCGAATAAATTTTGTCAAAAGATGCCAAATTGTACATCGTCTTATATGCAACACACAATGTAACTAACTTTCCTTTTTTTACACATGTACCATATATTACAAGAATACACTTTATTATATCCATCCAATTGGATAATACCTACAAAACCTTATAATGTACATGTAATTATATTATGAAATAACACAGTCCCATTTAATCGACCGCGAAATATTTTTCAAGCATACAAAATTGCCTGCCTAGTTTGCTGTAAATCATTTAGACATTAATAATGTAAGATTTCATTTTAGATTACATTAGACACAAAAGTATTTATAGCTTTATGAGACAAAGATAAGATTATCGGATAAGCGTTATAGTAATTTTATGTAGGCGGAGATACCAAGATTACACCATCGCCTCGCACAAACAGCATCTGGATAGTTCTTTTTTTCTGGCGATAGATTTCCTCGTATGTTTCTTCATCAATCTCCACTATGTTTATGATCTCCTCCACATCACCTAGCACCATGTTCAAATGCTGGTCGAAAGCCTGAAATTATGGTTAAGATGTAAAAAATAGTTTTAATACTTTGGTTTAATTTCGATGTTGATTTGTAATATTTTGAAATAAAGTAAATCCACTTTGTATAAAAATATACATCTTGAAATATCGAGAATTAAAACAATTAAAGCAATCAAGCATCTTTACGTGTAATTTTCCTCGGAGCTCTCTTTCGTTCCTCATTTTTACGTAAATCCGCTCCTCCAGGCTCAATTTTATGAGGTCCAGGGGCTCCTTCACATCAATCGGTGGCAACTATTTCAGGATAACATTCGAGATTATACGAGAATAAATACAGCGATCTACGTGAATTCTGAAACTCACCTGTTCCGATTCTTCAACCATCGCGAGTCTCTTGTAAAAACTGCGCGATTATTTTACGTTAACGGCACTATACAATCGAGAATTGCAAATTACTACGCAAAATTCAAATGTCAATCATATATTATAGGTTACCGGTTACTATCATGGGTGTATAAAAAACAGAAGCAGAGAGGAAAACGAATTATAAATACGGGCCTAAATACGCCATATTATTAATACGCTCGGAAAGGCATCAACAATATGGCGTCACCAATCAAGTTTGCCAATTTATTTAGATATCAGTTCACATTTTCTTATGTCTATGGTTTCAATAATACGACTTGTCATTTCGACTTGTCGCGATAGGTGGCGCATGATGGCACAGTTGGCGTCAGACATTCGTGGTCAGACGGTCAGACAACACAATATAAATCATAACATTTTTTTACACGGATTTGAGAGAAATTTGCATCTCTCTCTATCGCAGGTATAAATATAGACATTGAAGAAACATTTGTGTTACAATTATTATGCTAGTCTAGATTCCAAAACGATGGTAAATTTTCTCTCCGAACAAAATTTTACTCAATGGCCGTTCCAAAACTTTTTTGAACGTTTCTAATTGGTATTATGCCGGCCATCGAGTAATATTTTCCTCGGAGAGGAAATTTGACACCGTTTTGGAACCTAATTCTAAAAGAAAATAATTTGTATTTCTAGTCGAAAAAGAATATAATAGAAGAAATAAGAATCGAATGCGATTGAAATTTCGCGCCATTCGAGGACGATCGTGGCGCCGCTGGACGGTGTCCGGTGGAGTCGAGCCGCGGCCCCGGCGGAGGGACGACGTAGCGAGGAAGCTAGAGCTAGGGAGAGCTAACGAGTGAGTGTGAGCAAGCGAGTATACTACGAACACGAACGCGTTGCTGCTGCTATTGCTGCTGCTGCTGCTGCTTGCCTGCGTGCTACAGCGCAACGCCATTTTCTGCGCTCGCGGGTGAAGTCGTCGATTCGCGTTTGTCCGGTCCGGTCCCGTCGTCGCGACGTCGGCCGACGTCGCCCACACGTTGATCGCCGCATCGTCTCCTGGCGAGGACACGATCGGCCTTCTTCTCTCTCCCCTGATTGCCCGCTCGGGTTCCACGTCCGGGATATGCGCGAACACGCGGCGGACAGCCGTGCGACGGATACGATGGTGAGTGTCGAACGAGCGTAAGTGTGTGTGGGTTAGAGAGAAAGAGAGAGAAAGAGGGAGAATGTCGCTGGAGTGACAGAGAGGGATGGCGAGATCGGAGCTTCGTGTTTCATGACACATCTTGTCAGTCAGGCTTTTTCTCGTGCGCCGCCGTCGCGTAACCGCGATAACGGAGTAGTAGAGTCTTGATAACGAGTCGCGACGTCGAAAGACGACGCCGTACTCGATGGGCGGCGGTTTTCCGGGGGCGGCACATGGCCGTCATAGCCGCATAGGGCACGGGCGCCGGCTGTCCGTGCAGGGGGTGGCCCTCCCCACGAATAGAGTTTCCTTCTCTCTCTTTCTCTCGGAGCGAGCGGTTCTGACGAAGAGACGCCTCTCTTTTTCTCTCTTTCTCTCTCTCATCGCTAGAATGAGGGAGATCGCGACGCCGATTGTTGAGCCTTGCCGTTATCGCGTGTAATATTAATTAATCCTTCGCACATTCATGAAATAATATATACAGTGCAACGATGACATTAATCTATATAAGCTTCGCTTTTGTATAGGGTGTTTTATTTTTACAAAAAGCTTCTCTTATGGAATTATGTCATTTCTGCAATAAATGCTTTAATTTCTTATCCTGCGATTTCGTATATATAAAGAATAAATAATTATAATGATTAATAATTCATTTTTTTATCATCGATACTTGTGCCATTTTTATGTCGAGATTAAAGCATGACAATATAAGGAAACTGAATTCAGTTATAAAACAGTCAATATTTATGTCTGTTGATTTTGTCATCGACAATCCTGTCGTTTCCGTCACTTCGTGTCACTTGCCTGGAGTGACATAAGTTTCACCCGCGTAATACCCGGTGAGAATAACATGAAATGAATATGGGTGTGTAGGTATAATACATATATAAAAGTTATGAATAACTAAACATAAATATTATCACGTAATAATATTTATTTATTATTGATAATTTTATCATTTATATTGTCATAACATTCGAGAATCTATGCGAACACTTTGCAAGAATTTAGAAGGTTCGATCATTCAAAGATGCGCGTGTATTCACGTGATACGACCGTGTGTATGAGAACGGGAAATGGGAAAAACTCGTGCGTGGGAAATTATAGCATCTCGCGAGGTATATTTTTCATGATGGAATGAATTAAGAGGGTCGAAAAGAATTTGCCAAGTATCATGATAAATCGCAGTGATCATTTAGAAATAATTTGCGAGTGGAATCAGAACACGGAGCCGTCAATTGTTGGCATTCTCGATACATAGGGTGTCTCAAGACAACCGCTCTCGATGCGAAGTAAATTATTCTGTTATATTAAATATAATTGTTTGATAATTTTGGAGATAATTAATTGTCCAAGTATTTAATCTAATTTATAAGATCAAACATATACCTTTAAAAGCTTGATTCTCCAAATTGCTTATTGAACATTTGTTGTGGGATACCTTGTATATAAAATGAAGTGTGAACGATATATGTGTATTTGATCGTGCGATCTCGCAAAGAGCGATCGTCTTGCCTGACCTTTTCTGCATTAATTTATTAATGAACCGTTAGATCGCGGTCGCCGTGTATATGTGTATATATATATATACGCATTCATACGATGCGTGTGATGCGTACATACGTAACATTATCGATCGATGACTGTTAACACAACGAGCCATCTTGCCCTTTTCTTTTATTGTCTACGCGCGAGTTCTTTGTCTAATCTCTAATTTTAAGAATACCATTCGACATGTGGCGAATGTTCCTTAGGGAATTAATTAAATTCTTAATATTCAATCAGAGTTTAAATACCTCTAATATATGTATAAAGCTTTGAAATATTTTGAAATTCTTGAGATTTTTTAAATTACTGAAACTATGGAGTTTTATAGTTTCAAGGGAAAATATTTTATACAATTTTAGAATCTCTAAATAAATTAGTTTAAGTTTTGAAAATTTAGAATTTTATGAAATCTTGGGATTTAAAAGTTTCGATGATCTCTAAATTAATTTTACAAAACTGTCAATTCTCTCTGTTAAACTGCTTAAGATTAAAGCTACAAAAAATCTTTGACTTTTCCGGAAATTCACATACACTGAACTCCTGGAGTTTTGAAACTTTGATCTGCGATTTTATTACTTGGATCTCGAGATCTTTGTGACCCAATTGGATCCCATTTACTCTGTTGACATTCCCGATGTAGCCGGAGGGAGAATGCAACCGGCATGAGCTCGACCCTTCCGTTCGCGTCTCTCGGTTATTCGGCTAATCTTGGATCATCTTCCGGTGGATCCCTTTGCACGACGTTACGAGTACTAAATCTTATCTGAAACTAGGAAAATAGACACAAATCGTGTTAGTATCTTCATTCGCGCAAATTTTCAATATACTATAATAAAAATATATTTCATTATCCTTTTTTTTTTTTTAATATCACTGTTTTCAGTATAAATAATAGAATTTTTATCAATTTTATTTATAAAAATTCCGTAACGTGTGATAGCAAATAATTATCATTCTTCCGATATATGCAATGGTCGTCGCGAGAAAGTCGACGCGTCGTTTAGGAACACCTTATATAAAGTACAATACAATATATTGCCATTCTCTCCTGCTCTCTGTTGGCCGCATTACCTTGAACGGGGTCGACCGCGTGCTGCTGGTAACGTAAATACGCACCGCGGCATTCCGTTTCGCGAAATTTCTGCAAAGACAACATCAGTAAAGAAATTATGCAACTGCTGGCGTCGAGACACGCCAGCCACAGTCTCGTAATCCTGTCACGCGCATTTCGCATCTACGATTACGTCTTTTCGCGATGGCAAAGCGATGTGTCTTCGGTCTTTGTTCTTTCAGTTTCATTGAATTTCTTCGAATAACATTAGATACTCTCTCGCGCTGATTTTTTAATCTTTCTTGATTTATATTAATCGTATAGAATACTATATGGAAAATGTATGTTGTAAGTTTTTATCTAATATGTAGATTGTAAAAATAATTTAGAAGAATACATTATATATAATTGAAATAATAATAGAGAATTAAATATTAGAATTTGATTAAAGTACAAGAATAAACTTTAGCTTTAATAAAATATTGCATCTATATGAAACGAAAGTATCGCGATGGATATTTTTAACACATTCCCACTTGATACAAGCCCAAGAAGCTTCGTAGACTCTCGCGGCGTGACAGAAAAAGAAGCGCGATGCAAAATCGATAGTCCGGCCTTTATGGTGCTCACGGTTCGACGAGGGTCGTGGGAAATCGCTGCGAAATCGCGGAGTTAACGTAGAGAGAAATACCGTCGGTGTCTTTGCCCCTTTGCCTATGAAAATTGTCAGAAACTCGCGATTATGCCTCTTCTCTTACATAGAGACACACACGCACAATAGTCCTACGCGCAATAATACCTGACCGCGTTTCCGCGACCACGCAAAGACCAGGGAAACTGGGTTGCTGCACATATTTTCACAGTCGTACGTCTCGAAACCCATACAAATAAAATCGCATTATCGAGGTTAACGTCCCAGACCTATAAACAGAGTCTCGCGAGACTCTGTTTAAGTTTCCACTCGCAAGAATTAAAGCTCACCTATATATGCATAATTCAAAATTCCATTAAACAGATCAAAATTGTCAATCTGACATATCATTTTATTTTAGCCGATTCACCTCGCGCTAGAATTTAGAATTTGAATTAAATAAGTTTCTTATTATTATCATATAAATTTAATCTTTTTTATCTATATAAAAATTTAACAAATTTAAATAATCGCGGTTTAGTAAAAATTTAAATCTCTGAATCTGATTCGATGTAGTTTCATTAATATACAGGTGCATGAATATTTTATCGTGCGTTAGATCCAGTCCCTTCGGACTTCATTCAGCAATTCAATTTGACGCCGTTATCATCGGCCGTTTATGGGAATTATTTAGATAATATCACCGTTGATCCAACGGCTTTAAGTCGTGAATAGCTGACAGCTTATTTATTATACCTTACTCTACAGTTTTTAACTTCATCTTTTTTGCGTAATATTTTAATAAAAACTTAAACTCTTATTCTTCAGACAGGTATAAATAAATGTGCAAGAAATTGAAAGTTTCTCATCTCCCTTAGAAAATCACTCGATTGTGAGATGATTCTCTCGTGAGTCTCGTTGCGGTTTAATCCATGTTTACGTGAAGACCTACACAAGTAAGCTTCATAAGAGGATCCATGCGTTCGTGGAAAGTAGGCTAAGAGCTAACCGCTGTATTCATTGACTTTATTACATTATTATTAACACTCATTATAAAAGTATTTTAATTCGAATATCTGATTAATGCGAATATTTCAAAATATTAAAAAGAATCATGTTCTAACTAATTTTTGAATAAAATGTTTTACGTGCGTTTTTCTCACCATATCGATCGCATTCTTTCCTCGCAATCAGTACAATTAAATATTTCTGCATACAAGGCCACGTCTTTATTTATGTACGCTGCGAAGATATCGCGAGCTAAACGATAATAATGCGGAAACGTGTCCACAAAAAAAGGATTGCGTTATTTACGATGAAAAGAAACGCGATTTGTTCAATTTTGCCGATTTATGGTTTGCAATAGAAGCGCGAATATGTATCTTGAAATGCAAATATTTGACCGTGAGATAAGCAGATTATTGCGTCTTTTCGTTTGGTGAGTTAGCGTTCAGAATCAACATCTTGTATATATGCAATATTTCGCATATAATATTTAGCAAAATTTTGACTGAGATCCGTACCACATAAAACAAAAAATCAATAAACAAATTTAATACTAATAATTATTAGTAATCATTTATAATTGTTATAATTGTTTTGGGAAACAAAAACTATATAAAGTACAATTTTTTTAAAAATTGCAACAAAATTATGTGATAATTAAGTTATAATATAAAGATGAGATAAATTATTTTGTAGTTTTATTATTCAAAGATTTAGAAATACTTTAAAATCACAGTGCCTGGG